ATCTGCTTGATTAACACTCTTAATTTCTTTTTTCAGCTCATGTCAGTTAAACACTTCATTATAGTATAATATTGACCATGTGTGAAATCTTAGTTTAGGTTTTACTGCTATGTGGTCAAAAGCCTGAGAATTAAACTGCAAATTGCAATGTTGGCTACAGATGCAAAGTTTTCTCTCATTTCATTACAATCCACCCGATAGTCACTGATCTATTACACTTAAAATTAAAAATGTCAACATCATGGTGGCACGGGAGAAAAATTAAAGGGATTACCAGATGTTTATTTCATGGAAATCTATCGAATAGTAACTAACTAAGGCCTCGGGGCTAGAGACCTCTTAGCAATGATCTGACAACCACTCACAAGGGAAAAATGTGTCTTGTCAATCAGTTGCAAGTGGTTGCTAGAGGTTCCTGGCTAACGCTGAGTGAGCAAAGCTCATTCTTTCCTTGTCATTCCTTCGGTCAGTGGCAGATTGACACAGTAACTCACAGTTTGCATGAAAGGTCCACACATGTCTGCAGACACTAATCAGTCTACTCTCTGTGCAGCATTGAAATGTAAAAACTGTGAGACACAAACTAGAAAGGGTGAACACTTATCTTCAGAGTACAAGATGTGCTTTACTGCTGCAATCATCACATTTCAAATAGCACAGCTTTAACTCTGCGGGTGAACCGTTTCCGTTTCTGGTTTGTGTTGCACTTTTCACAGTTTCACTACCAGTGTTACCAGCAACTTGCACAAGTTTGCAGCCACGTCGGCGTCTGTCACGCAGGTTCTGAGTGCAGCACTGTCAGCAACCTCTAAAAATAACTCATCAAAATACGCAATTTAGTGACGGGGGTTGCTAGGTTGATCAGTTTCTGATTGGTTTCTATGATTAGTTTCTATGCTTGCATGAATGTGGCTTTAGCAACTGATTGGACAGCTACCAGCCTCTAAAAACCCTTGGTTTCCCTTGGAACTGGTGGTATCAACATAGTTGGTAACCAGTCTCTAGGTCTGTGTGACTAAGACTTTAATGAAATTGCCAACTACTACTGCAACACTACTGCTGATGAAATGTTGTATATGAAAACATAAAGTGGTTAAATAATTATTTGATCACCCACTGAATTTGTAAATTTGTTCACTTTCAAAGAAATGAAAAGTCTCTCATTTTATAGTGGATGCATTTTATAGGAGAGAGACAGAAAATCAACCAAAAATCCAGAGAAAAACACCAAAATTACCTAAAAGTTAAGAATTGATTTGCATGCAATTGAATGAAATAAGTACTGGATCCCAATCGAAACGTGACTTGGTAAACGTACTTGGTGGGGAATCCCTTGTTGGCAAGTGGAGCACTAAGACATTTCTTGTAGTTGGTTACAAGGTTTGCACAAATCTCAGGGTTTTTTTTGCCCATTTCTATTCAGAGAAACTCTCTAAATCCTTTAGCGTATCTCAGCTGCCGCTTGGCTTCAGCTCCTTCCACGGATTTTCTATAGGATTGATATGGGCTCAAATTGTGGTCATAAATATTTGTAGTTGTAAATCAGTTTTGTATGCATAAAAAGAATTTGTGTATGTGTAAAAAAGAATTTGTGTGTGCACACAGCAAAAAATACATGTGAAACTCTACACTCAAGTTTCAACTTACAAGTATGAATTTTGACCATATTTTTCTTCCTTTAAGGTGATTGGTCAATGTCAAGTCAATCACAAATTGAACTATCCAATCAGAGAACAGATGGGTTTGACTGTCCTTGAAGGATAAATGCGCTTTCACGGCTCTTATCGCCACACCATGAAGGAAAACATCTGTGTGTGTCAAAGTAAACTTTTTCTCGCAGGTTGACGTTCTTACACAGGAACCAGCAGAGCATTTTCAAATGCACTGTCGACCTCGGAGGAAAAGCAGTGTTGTGGAAATGACACACTCTTCACTAGTCGGGACAGTTACAAAGCTTTCCTCGTTATGAATGAGCGATACGTTTTTATTAAACATTTGAACATGATTCAACACAAACTCTCGTAGAGGAAATAAAGTCAGAGAGATACATGTTTTGAAACGACAAGGATCAGGTGCATCTAGTACACCTAGAGCGGCCGCTAAAAAACGATATACAAGCAGAGCTCAGCAGTCAGCGCAACAAATTCTGGATCCATGCCGTGTCCGATGTGAAACGACCTT